TAGGTACATTTAAATTTATCCTTTTATAAATATGACACACTTTTAATCCATGTAAATAGAGGACACATTTATTAAAATATACTTTATTTAAGATCTACTAGGTACATTTAAACTTATCCTTTTATAATTTTTTTTAGTCTAATATGACAGTTAAAACAATGTAAAACTAATTATTCGTCATTTAAAAATGTGTATAAAAAAGCTACTATAAAATAAATTTAAATACTTTTTGGATAATATGACAAATAATTAGAGGAAACCTATTAGTTAGGGTTGTTTCGTTGTCAAACAGAGGTTGTTATCATCGGTGTAGGACTAAAAGGAAAATCAACATAAATTTCAGTAATGAAAAACAAAAAAATTACAAGGATAAATTAATGAACTAAAAACACATTTAACTTGTTTACTTTATTAGTTTACGTGTCGGTCAATTTTGATAAAGTTATAAGAGACAATGAAAATACGGAGTACATTTTTTTTTCTCTTATTTTCACCAACTACAAAACCAATGTTCTAAAAGGTCTAGGCGCTAGTCAGGTGCTAGTCGATCACATATTTCCTAGGCAGCTATGTGGGGACTAGTCGGAGACATAAAACTTATACTTTTATCAATGTTTCACATAAGTATGATTAGTAATTCTTTTTTTTGTGTGTATACAAAATACATAAACACAAATACTCCGTACACATTAACATGAACGGGTGATAGATGTGTCACATTTAATAATATTATACACACTAATAATATTATACACACTGCCTTAACTTTATTAGGTAATAAGTTAAGTATTACACAGTATTAAATAATATAATATTTAAGATTACATACAAATATGTATAGTTGTTTAACCCGTTTGGTAGCACGAAAATCGGCTGTTTTGGCTGATTCTGCTGAAATTTATGAAGTTCTGACTGAAGTGTCTGCATTGGTTGATTCTGCTGATTTAAGAAAAAATTATCTTTAAAATATATTTTATTAATAAAATAAAGAAAAAGTTACATGTAAAAATAGTTAAAATGGTCATCTACAATAACTTTAGCCAATACAGCCAGAAAGTAACTCCAACCTTACTTTTTCTGCTTATTACACAATTCAGCGCACGAAAGCAAAAATTACGTGTTTGGTGAAAAAGATGGCTGATAAGCCTGATAAGCCAAAAATCAGTGTTGCCAAACAGCCTCTTTATCTTAATACCAATGTTCTAAAAGGCGCTAGGCGTTAGTCATGCGTCAGCCCAGCGCCTAGCGCCTAGACGGCTAGGCGCGCGCTAGGCGGGGACTAGTTGAAGACATAGAAGTTGCATTTCTATCAATATTTTTGCATAAATATGATTAGTAATGTTGTGTTTGTGTGTATAAAAAAATACACACACATATACATCAACATGCATGAATGATAAAGTTATCATATTTAATACTACCTCCGTTCCATTTTATGTGTCTTAGACTCTTAGTTTGACTTGCAACGATTATTAATGAAGTGGTTGAAAAAGTAAAAGTTGTGGTTGAAGTTTGAGTATAATAAAGTGAAATGATGTAAACCACGTATTTGTTTCCAAAAAAGGAAAAGAGACACTTATTTTGGGACAACCCAAAAAGGAAAGTAGGACAAGTAAAATGAGACGGAGAGAGTAATATATTATACCTACTCACTAGTAGCTTTCTTCATATGTGTTTTTAAAGTTAAAGGTACATATATTTTCTAAGATACTAAAATAAAAAAGCCAAAAAAATGTTCGTTGAATCTAAACTCCTAGGCAGCCGATAAAGCGCTCTAGGTGGGCAACTAGGCGCCCTAGGCGGCTGACTAATTCAACTAGGTGGGCGCCAAATCAATTAGTCGGAGCGCCTAAACTAAAATCGGGACGCCTGACCACCGCCTAGCGCCTAGGAAAGGACTAGTCGGACGCCTAGAGCGATTTTAGAACCGTACTTAAAATACTATTAGTAGCTTTCTCATATGTGTTGTTAAAATTAATAAAGATAAATATATCTCTTAGATAACCAAAATAAAAAAGTAAATAAAATCTTCGCCAATTTAGACTTCATATGCGGTCGATTGAGTGCTCTAGATGAAAAACTAGGTGCCTAGGCGGTCGACTAATTCACTTAGGGGTCAAACCAATTAGTCCAAGCGGCTAGACTATATTTTTTTAATAGAAAAGTTATCTATAGTTTTTTGGGAAATAATTAAAACATGATTGATTTCGTTTGAATTTTGGACGTAGAATCGTGTACATGTCAAACCCAGGGCCAACTTTAAATTAGGGGTGAAATTTTGAAACCAAGAACCGGAAATCCGAACTGAACCATTATTCGGTTTGATTTGATTCTAACAACAATTAGTTATTTATTAACGGTTCGGTTTTTTATTAACCGTTCAATTTGTAGTTTTTATTAACGTTTCAGTTCTCAATTCCTATAAACTATGTATGTTAGACCGTTACGTAACCGTTATATAATATATATATATATATATATATATATATATATATATATATTTCTATTACTTATTAGTATAAGTATTTTAATATTTATGTACTTATTTATTTTTATATTAAATTCACTAATTTAATTTAGTTTATAGAGTTGATAACATGGTAAGTATTTAACCAGTTCCTTTTATAGTGAATGTTTTTTTTTGTTTTCTCTACTAAACTTTGTGAAGAATATACATTAGAGCATATTTTATAAAGATGACATTTGAGTCAATTTTGGTTAGTTTGTTTTAGTTTTGGTCAATTTAAGCTTTTTTGATCAATTTATGTCAATTCAGTCAATTTTCAAATCTAAAGTCATAAAATGAACCATCTAGAGTGGGGTCAGTTTTTTATTTATTTGATTTTCAGTGGAAATGTTCTTAATATATATAAATTTATTAATTATGAGACCAAATCTTCAAATGAGTAAAATCATAGTATTAAAAGCAGACACAATCTAAAGTTACAAGACTAATTAGAAGTTATTTAACTTTCATTAAAGCATATGGATATGGATGGTGACTAAGAGCATATTTTCTAAAGTGCAAGATGTAAGTGATAATACATCAATTATCAAGGGAGGTTAGTGATATTTTCTCTTATTTCTTACTTCAAATATCATGGGGTTGGAAAAATATTGAAACTAGGGTATATCATATTTGCCCCTGCAAGGCATGAATTGCCAAGGGAAGAAAAAGTACAATTGGTTAGTGCTTGCATAGTCTCAAAAGTCATGCGTGGTTATTTTTTTAAATGTGAAGCACATTGTTTCAATGAAAGATTTGAAGGTGGTCGGTTTGAAATCTCACAGATTGCCATGTATTGATGCAAATTCATATTGCTATTTAGGGTAACATACCTAAAAAGCTTAGGTAAGTGTCATGCCTCAGTCCTCATCTGAGTGCATGAATAACCATCGTACAATCAAGTGATGCCACCCTAAGATAATCCTCGGTAAGTAAACATAATTAATACAATACTCGGTAAGTAAACATACGTAACAACATTAACATTTAAATCAAACGAATATAGAAAACACTCGATGTTTGATCAAGTGCCACATACGGCAAAACATGAGTTCGCAGACCCAAAACAAAGCATTTCAAGTATAGATATCCATGAACATTGTTTATGATTTAAAATTGATAGAGGGAGCACGAACCACGTCTTCCAAGAAATCACTTCACCCGCGCAAAAGTGCAGATATATAACAAGTTCTAGCTTCAACCTAAAAATAGTGAGGACTACCCCCAAAGGGGTCAAACACTCGTACTTACGAGACACAAGCTAAATATAGAATAACTAATGTTTCAAGTATAAGGCCTAAACATAGGGTGATACATAAATATATAGTTCTCTCCAAGTCTTTTCTATTCATGTAAGTATATACACTTGGAAAATACCCGACCCATAGGTCATTTGCGTAAGCCAATAAAATCATGGTGGATTTAGTCCTTGACTTTTCCCCATCCCCATATCCAACCCCGTATTTAGCCCTCCCGCTATAGCCTAGAGTTCATTATATCATTGAGTGTTGATAGCCTTACTCAGCAATTGAGCCACTCTCTCGGTAATTACAAGTTTTAAGGACACCGTCCGATCCCAAGGTACTCCACCGGATCTCCGAGTTTTAGGACATCGCCCGGCCCTGGGTACTCCACCCCTAATATCCGAGTTTTAAGGACACAACCTGGCCCCAAATTACTCCATCCAAACCTATGAGTTTTAAGGACAGTGCCCGGTCCCAGGGTACTCCACCCAAACTTATGATCTACCATATACCTTACCCCGCTATGGTCTATACCATATCATTAAAAAAGACTAGTCCAAGCCTTAGCATCTAAACACAATAATCCTTGCAAAAGCAAGCATGTAATATACTTTCAACATGGTCGACGCTGGTTCCTGCTGGAACCGGCGCCGGTTCCCATTTTATTTGAATTGGAATCCCAAAGCCGAGACTCAACTGGCGCCGGGTTTGACCCTAAACGGCGCCGATCCCTGTTACATACCTTTGCATAAAGAATCAATATATTCCTTTTTGGCCCTTCAAAACATCATCTATGTTTTGATATGCATTTTAATTCATTTACATGCATCATATATTAGTTTAATTCATATAAGCTCAATTACCTTGGCTAATCACATGCATAAACACTTTAAAGATCATCATGATTGGGTATAATTGTGTAATGAATTTTAGGCAATGTTTGATAACTCTTGTTTTCGTTTAATCAGGTTTACCGAACGCGTAACTTTTTATTTTGTGAGATGAATTGTGAAATAATGAGGATAAGTAAGATTGAAATTATTTTTCTGACTAAATTTGTTCTTAAATGAGCATATTGATTTAATTCAACTGCTTTAATATGAATTTCACAAATTTCTATTGATTTAATAGATTGAGTCAATTCTAGTGTTGTCAAAAGGATTCCTGATTTCATCATATTTTGCCCCAAATATTTTTAACATGTCCTCGTTTCTCCAATTTGTGGGAAAGGCGCCAATTATTGTCATTCTCCTAGGTATGAAAACAAGCAACAGAAAACAAAGGCAGCCCATCGCATTCTACATCCCAGCAAGATGCAGTAGGATAAATGATTGCATAGATGCTGGATTAACAACAAACAGAGAGTACCCCTTTCCGAGTTGAAAGCTCAAAACCAGCCCCCATCACAAACTAGCCTAAATTATACATATGGTTTGTGATTGAACTCGATTTCTCATTCCGGCCTTGAGACAACATTGGTTAATCATTTTACATATTACTCCGTATCAATTAGCTATAAAAGATTTTTTTTTTACCAAACACCTCTATACAAAGATGATAATAAAGCAATACCCCTCAACGCTCATCATTTGTTGTTGTTATGCTCTTTTCTGCCGTCTCCGTGAGCTTCACTTCCGCTTCTTGCTTTTCATCAGAAGAAGAGATTGATATTTGGTGTAAAGTTTCTTGGATCTTCGTCACGCCCTTCTCCACCGGTTCAATTGCCTGGTTTATTGTCAACACCACATCCTCAACCACCTGTTTCACCAATACATGGTTTGTAAGACAAAAAGTGGGAAACCAGATTGTCCTTAAGTTGAGGGTAGCAAGAACAATCTTTCTTACTTGTTGACCACCTCCCACAACAATGTCTTGTACACTTTCTTTCACACTAGTCCCAGGAGCCTTGACTTCGGTTTCTGTTTTTTCAATCAAAGTTGGCTTTTCCTCGTCTAAGTTTAACAATGTTTCGGTTTTTCGGGCAGTGATCTTTTCTCCATACACAGGTGGTGCTCTAAGGAAATGATGATAAGGCTTTGCAGAGAATACAAAGATGTGAGCTATTGCAGCAATTGCCATCTGCTGGGAAACAAGGACAAAGAAATTCTGTAATTATCTACAACTCTAGGAATATAAGACACCTCCAATATGTTATCTGGTTTTGGTAAGGAAATGTTTTTTTTAAACAGTAATTATCCAATCCAAATCGAATATGATGAAAAAAGAACTCAAAAATAAAATCCGTGGAAAAGAGAACATGAAAAACACCTCTATGCAAATTAGGAAGTCTTGCAAGCCAGTCTGAAACTTGCCTTCCTTGGATAGGACACCCCAATAGCATGCCAAGGCAATACCTACTCCTTGCCACCATGTAGCAAAAACAATTGCCTTGAAGCTAATAAACTTTGCAAGGGGTTTAATTGCCTTAAGTCTCAGATGAGTGACATTATAAAATTGGACCAGACAATACAAAGCCCACATCTGGCTGAAGTTCAGAACCACTGCAATATATGGGTACCTGAAAGTAAAACGTATTAAAAGCATTTGTCACTTTTAATCGTCCAGCTATGATATCAATGACATATTTCTTGCATTATAAAACTATTTTAAATATTCCTTATTAAAATAAGCACATATGGTGTGTGCATACCCATAGTACCACTTAAACTCGCCATCCCCATAAACACCTAACAGCTCCAGAACCAATGCTAAAAATGCACAAAAAGTCTTCAAAATCATCTGAACCGAAATAAACAAAGAAAAGTAAGAGTTTCCCAATGTGGTATATTAAATCCAACAAGGAGAAGGCATATATCATACGTATTTTGTTTCTTACATACTGCACTAGACCGAATTTCTCTATTGTAAAAAGACGCTCTCCGAGGAGAAACGGGCGGCGGAAGAAGTTGTAGAACGCTCTTTGTTTTGTCTTATGTTGTTTCTCTTCCCCACCAAGTAATGGCTGCTGGCTGGTCTCTTTTCTTGATTCATCCTCGAGTAGTTCCACGACTTTCTTTTCACCCCCTACCATTAGATGATCAATGTATTTACTAATGATGTGCATATGAGGTAACTGAAAGATGAATCATTCAAGAACTATTCTTAATATGAAAAGAAATGATGATAAGCAAGAATGGACTCACCAAGGCAAGCAACCAAGTAACTGCCGAAAGAATAGAGCGCAAAAGCTTCATATAGATTTCTTAAAATGTCACATGCAAGAGAAAGTTCTGGTTTCCACAGAGACAAAATCTGGGGGAAAGTGAGATCAAGGGGAAAATATATAAAAAAGGAACTTTATAGAATATACAAGATAGCAATATATAATGTAATCCACATGCATGTATAATGGCATCTTGGTTAGACACCACTCATTCAAGTTTTCCAAAAGGGTCAGGGGTTCTTATCATAGTTCAAACAAGCAATTTATGCGCTCTAAACATCGATCAAGATCGTAGCTTGTATGTCATTACATAATAAGTTTTAGTGGAAAAAACTTGTGCATTCTAAAATTGAAGATCATATACCTTCCTTTCATATGTACAAATAAGTAACATGTCAAAACATTGATTAATGTCATCGAATTAATAAATTACTGATTAATTAGAAGAACCAATATTTTGTCAATTTGTCATCCAGATAGTATTCCTTATGTTGCCACTTGCCATCATGCTAAGGGTGAGCAAGTAATAGGTAGGTAAAGATTAAATAAACGCGTACAGGAGCAGTCTCTTTTTATTGGTGAAGGTATTATTTGAAAATTGAATTACTTACAAGCTATGGAGAATGAATCATCTATAAACAGTTTGAGGTATATGCTGATTATTCATAAGCTGATAAGCTACGTCATAGTAAACACTGTTCTGAAATTCACATTCTAGACGCTACGACTTCCTTGTTCATTCAAATTTTGCTTAGTTTAACTCGTGTCAATTTGAATTACAGGTAGGAAAAAGTATCAATTACTATCCTATAATACATTTGTATGATTTTTATGTATGATTTTTTACCAAACATGGATGAGCCTGGCTCAAATTTGACTTCTCCTAAGTCCTAACTATGCCATGCTCCTAGGCCTCGGCCCTGGCTAAAGTTTTGAGAGGAAATAGTAGGAAAAAGGAAAACGGGGCAAGTAAGTGATATTAATTCCCTTGTTTGGCTCAGAGAAAAATGGAAGATGAAAACTTAGATAGTAAAATGAAAATGTGGAGTCCATGTGTTGTTTTCCCCCTCAAATAGATGGGAAAGAATGGAATGGGAAGGAAAATAATTTCTACATTTACCAAGAATACTCTCTTCACCAATTACCTTTAATTTCCGTTTCTACCCAAAATAACAATGGGAATTAATCGTTCTTCAATTCCATTTCCCAACTCTATATGTTTCTTCCGTCCAAACATACTAGGCTAAAGGGGCAAATAGGTACATGAACTAACTTAAAGTGTTCAATTAGCCCCTTATATAGGAGGTTCTGCCCGGCCGTCGCCAATTGGGGCGGTTCCAGGTTGAATTTTTTGATGAATTTTTTTGAGCATCTTCTTCATTAAGTCTAGTTTACTCATATCAAATTTCAGCTAAAAATTAAATCGGGAAGGCAGTCAAATGATTTTTCGAAATGTACTGCATTGTTTAACTGCACAGTTATCTTCAAAAAATCATTTGACTGCTTTCCCCGTTGAATTTTTAGCTGAAATTTGGTATGGGTAAACTAGACTTAATGAAGAAGATGCTCAAATATTTTCATCAAAAAATTCCATCGGGAACCACCTCAATTGACGACGGCCGGGCAGAAACTCCTATATAAGGGGCTAATTGAACACTTTAAGTTAGTTCGTGTACCTATTTGACCCTTTAGCCAAGATACTAAAAAAACAGAGTTCCACTCGGAGAGGCAAAACTACTAAAGTAATTTAAGAATCAGACATGGACAAGACGTGAACTTGGATGCACTTACTGACTCAGTAGCATAGACTGGAACCATGGAGATCACCGCAACAATCCATTTTTGCTCCTGAAAATTAAGAAAGAAAATAAGCATATATGGATAATTGTGATATACTACGTACGTATAATAATAAGTAGTAATTTTAATTACTGTTATTAAGCTCATAATTAACAAACCGCGGGATTAGTGTAAGATCTGAGATGCTGTAAAATCAAGAAAGTGGAGAGGAGCAAAGAAAGCAAAACAGAGGAGGAAGCGATAATCAGGGCCGGGTCGTGGAGATGTCGGTAGCTACTCCGAGACACAGAGGTTTCGATCGCCGCCGCCCATGGCTGCGTTCTGATGCGATATGTGTGCATCAATTTCATGAGTGAATTCCTCGTATGGAATGATTAAGGTACTGCTCATCATCAACCATACTCCCTCCGTACAAATGTAACATGCAGTTCGATGCCGCCTGGCGACACGTGCCTCGGGTGTGCCATTGTACATCATTCACGAGTGTTATCCCTTTGTGATTACTGATTAGCAAGGAATAAGGATGTTTTGTATAGTACCCGTCATACCTCTATCACATAGATCAATCACAATGTTGAAGTTGAATTATTTAAATCTAAATAAAAAATGATAAACCTATTTGGACCAATGAAGGGAATGATAAGTACGGTACCCCATTTTTTAAATGGGTACCGGAGTTCTCACCTTTCAATTTAGGTGTTTTACAAACAATATTACTAAAATAAAACTTATTTACACAAATATAACTATTCATTACTACAGCGTAGTATTGTGGTAACTTAAGATCAAAACTTGAACATGAATTACTATGATTTCATTACTAGTCTATTAGTCATATTTTTGTAAACTATCTTTATTTTGGTCATATTTAAATAATTATTTCTTTTAATTTTGTACATGGATTTGATCTGGTCTACATCTCAACTCTAGAGGGATATTACTTTAGTTTTGTAAATACGTAGTATCTGATATGGTCTGATTTAATCTAATCTTGCATTAAGAACATCCGAGTAAAAGCATTCTAAGTAATTCTACCTCCTCTCAATAAAATCCATCAATTTTGACTACTAAATGAAATATTAAAATAAATTATGCACTTAATTAAGACTTGTAAAGTGTAATCAATAAATTTGTTACTTTCAAAACAATTGACAAATTTAAAAAATGCATCACTCCTGCTTAAGAGTTTATATGTATATATTTTTAAATAAGTTATCTCTCTTAAGCACTATTTTAAAAGCACTCTTATATGTGCACTTTGGATGATCATTCCTCACGTATAAATAATTATCTCTAGGCATTACATCTAAATTTTATCGATTCTATTGTATATATTTAATCGTTGTTTTTATTTTATAGTTCAGAAGTGTATATGGTCATACTAACACATGCAATGTGTAAGTCAGTAGGTGTACATAACATTGCCTGTGTACACAAGCAATTGCGGAGTTTTGGTATCAAATCTCGCCCCTTTTTAAACGAATTGCCTGTGTACAGACCACCACACCACTGTGCGGTACCGGCCCGAACTGGTTGGCCGGGACCGGGCCTTGGGGCCCAAACCGGGGGTGAGGGGGGTGGAGGGGGGGGGGGGGTTGGGACGGGCTACGGGTATGGATTTTGGTGACCGGTCCGGGCCCAACATGTTTTTTATTTATTTTTTCGAATGAGTTGGGTGCCAGCCTGCCAGGTGGGTGAGGCTGGGTGGTTTGGGGGTAGGAATTAATAAGAAAAATCAAAATTAAAAAAAAAAAAAGAACTAGTCCCGATCCGGCCCAGGCCCGGAATCAACCCGGGTCGGTACCAGGCTTTCATTTCCCAAATCCAGACCCGCCCAAATCCCGGCCCAGCCCGGGCCCGGTCCACCCCTATGTGTACAGAGACAACTAGGAGGATTTTGTTTACAATTTGTGTATAACTCATGTACACTAAGGATGTTTTTACTTGGACTGTAATTTGTCCCACACCAGATCAGACCAGGTCAGACCAAACAAGACCAGACTAGACTTGGGTAGTTATAAAAATACAAAGAAACCAGATCAGACTAGACCAGACCAACAAATTTCAGTCCAAGTAAAAACATCCTAATCATTTAGCGTAGTGTTAACTTATACGATAGTATGAGCATCATACTGCAGATATTTATCTAATACCATCATACTGCAGATATTTAACTTATATGAGCATCCAATCTACTCCGTATATTTTTTCGTAACATATGCAGTTTTAGAAGTTTATGTTATCAATTTATCTTACATACTACGGAGTACTACGTATATTGTTGGATTGTACGCCAGATGACAAATGTAGCATTGTTGTCAATTTTTTCTTTTTAGTCAATCATGATTTAAGGCCCCATACCTATGAGCAAAAAAGTGGTATACTCGTACTACGTATTTTTTAATTTTTATACAATAGCAACAACATATAAGCCGACAAGGCGACAACTACATCTAAACCTTACTTCCAAAAGATTTTGAGGTCGATTAACATGAACTGATGCATGATATCAGAGCTAAAAAGAATTTGTACTATTTTTGTATATGTTAAGAAAATTAAAATCTTAAAATCCTACGATAAAAAATATGCAACTCTTACTGCAATTTAAATAGTGTATGTCCAACTGTCCAAGAACCCCATTTCCTGATTCTTACAAGTTACAATACTTCACGTCATTCTTACTTATGAGTGGGCAGTGTTAAACACTCATTATTATGAGGGGACTATATATTTAATTATTTAGAACTTGAAAAAGCAAACATCATAAACAAAAACATTTAAAATTGTGATACAGGGACAACATAACAGCTAGGATGTCTCCGGAAAGGTAAGAAAGGTTATTAAGGACTCGTAATCCGGAAATCGCGAAACAAGGTGAGATCGTCTTGCAAGCTCGAAGTCCTCAAACTGGAAAGCGGGAGCACATGTACATCCAACCAGAGAGAAGTGATTCTCAGGATCTCTAGGAGGAGTTGTTTTTACAGCAGTTTTCATGTCCGAGGAGATGTCTATATCCTTTGTTGGGAATGCACCAAACCACACATTTGGAGGCACAGTGTACTGCACATGTTCATTTTCTCCGAGTGGGTTAGGCCCGAGGCATGTTAACTTCACACTACCATCACTCTCATTTAGTTCCATAACCTTCATACACAAAAAAGGTATAAACAGATTGTCACATATGTGTAAATATCTAGTTTCAAATTTAGAACAATTGTAAGAGCAGACATTGGTAAAGGGCACAGTAAAATCTTCTTAACCAAGTACTACTTAGGAGTAAATTTAAGAAAAGTTTACTAAAATCATTCCGACTCCATCCAGGTATGTAATATTGTCCTTCTATATATGGAGTCTACAAACAATTGCATGCAGTTATCATCACATATCAAACAAATATATCACAATACAATCTAATGTACAACATCTTGTGATCTTGAGCTACTATATATAAAAGGTCAATTTGATAGGATGAATATGTCAATGCCTATATGTTGCTAATATGTATAAAAGGTCGATTTTGTAAGCGGAATAAGTCATTGACTACTATGTTGCAATTTTCAGAACACACTATAGTCCACCCTAGCTATCCTCAGTAGTTATCCACATTTTATATGAATAACTGTAAGGACATGTTAGCTATCCACATTGAACAAATACAACAAAACAAACTCACATATAAAATGACCACTAGGAATATTGAGTTGGCATTCAGGATGGGATATATCAGTCTTAATAGTAGCACATCAGATACCAATGGAGCATAGTAACAGTTTCATCAGTTAAACGCAAAGGTGTAGGGAAATACCGTGATAGGCTCTCCCGAGTAAAAATGCCATGTTTCTGCACACGGGATGCGGTGCAAGTGAGAGACACTTGCAGAAGGCAGCAAGAAGTAAATAGATGTACTGACAGGTCGATCAACTTTGTCTGCAAAACAATTGCAGAGTAAAGATATACTTCATCTGGCAAGATAGTATACATAGAGGGTGTTTGTTTCAGTCTTTTCTAAAACTTATTCTGCTTAAAACAGGAATTGGATTAAAATTACAAAGTACAAATGGAATTTCCTCAGAAATAGAAGAGCTCAAACTGTTCATAAACTACATATTTTGTTGAGAAAATCAATTCTAATGTCAATCAATAGAACTCCGCAAGTTTGACCATATTAAGACTTTCTCTAGCTGAATGTAATATTTCTGGCAAAAATTGCAAAATCAACACAAAAAGCTGCTGCCTGGATGAAATTTTTAATTTTCTACAGAAAACTCCTTAAGTTAAATTTGAGGAAATTTATTTGCGACTGAGTAGTGAGGATGAGGACATGATCTCCCAGTTTAAAGTATTAAAATTGCACAGTTTATGATCCAAAATTTTGTCCGACCATATTTTGATAAAACACAAGGAATTCTCATACTTGGCCAAGATGGAGAATAAATATAAATCGGAAGGATTGGTTTCAACTTCAGATGGGATCATGGGAAGAGGAGTGAAACCGATGATAAATGAAATGAAAGGGGGGAGAAGACTTACAAGTTGGAGGAAGATGAGATTTAGAGAGGAAGACGGAGGGGTCCCTGAATGTTTCTGCATAGAAGCCACCTTCTGGATGCGGCTTCAGATCCAGTTTGGCTACCAGCTTGGAGGCTGTAATGGCCGCCAATGGAGATGAACCCATTTTGATTCTTTACGACGATGGATGTGCCTTTGAATGGGCTGGTGTTTGACCACCAGGGTCTGGACAATTAGAGGTTTTGAACTTTAATCAAAGCTAGCAAATAGAGGTTTTGACTTTTGAGTCACGCCCACCACTAATGACATTTGTTTTCATTGTTTACTTGCACATACGTGTGAAATATTTATTTTCATGTACTTTCTCTCCATTTAAGTGGTGGGATGGTACGTTGTAGGTTGGGGACCAACCAGCGGCGGATCCAGCATCGCCATTCAGGTGGGGCCATAATTTAATTAAATAATGTAGTTTGCAAAAAATGTCAAAGTGTAGCAAAATAGTACGTTGTACTACATATGTTATTTGACATGATTTATTTTCAAATATAAAATAAAATTTGTTGCAACATAAATGTCAAAAACAAAAATAAATATAACAGGAATAAGAATTTCTGTCGAATGCAAAACACCTCAAACTCATACATTTTGAACTAATTTTCACGCACCAAATCCAATGAATTGAACAAATTAATTTTTCAGGCTCATATTCAAAAAGGCCGTTTACAATATTAGTATCTAACTCATTTGACATTTGAGATCAATTGATGTTAGCCTTGTAGTAACTCATCTTAGAAGATTGATTTTAAAAAGATATTCTGTATGAAGGACAAAGAGATTTTAGGAAAGAAATTAAAATTTGTACACTAGCTCTCCATTAAAAAGAAAAATAAATAAATAAAGCTCTAGATGAGCTTCTTACCCAAGACATGTAAGTCTTCAAACACGAAACATACATGTATGTGGATCAGTTTACTTCCATCTTGCCAAACTATTAGTTGTACACTTATTTACTTTCTTTGTTGTTATATCATTTCTTAACGGAATTATATATAATACTCCCTCCATCCCAATATAAAAGGCACATTTGCGTTTCTAGACATTTTAAGGGTGAACACTGTTTGGCACTGTTTAGACACTGTTTGGCACTGTTTGGACACTGTTTGGCACTGTTTTGCACTGTTTTGTTTGCCAAAAAGGGAAATGTGCCTTTTATATTGGGACGGACCGAAAAGGAAATTGTGCCTTTTATATTGGGACGGAGGGAGTATATATATACTAGCAATTTTATTTTTTTGAGGTTGGGCCTAGGCCCTCCCTGGCCTAGGGCTAGATCCGCCCCTGGGACCAACAGAAGGGGACTTGGGGGCCGGTGGTGATGACCGGTGGTGGTGGTGGTCAGTTGGTCACTTTGGCGGGATTGGTCGGAATCACTAAGTTGTTATGTCATTGCGGCCGAAGTCACTATGTAACTGTGGTCGGAGTCACTATATCACTGTGGTCGGAGTGATTGTGTCACGGTGGCCGGAGTTACTGTGTCAGTTTTGCTAGAGTCATTGCTCCGTGATTGGTATCATTGTGTCACTTTGACCAGTACTCCCTCCGTCCCATTTTACATGTCCTACTTTCCTTTTTGGGTTGTCCCAAAATAAGTGTCTTCTTTCCTCTTTTGGAAAGAAATATGTGGTTTACACCATTTCACTTTATTATACTCAAACCGCATTCACAACTTTTATTTTTTCAACCACTTCATTAATAATCGTGCCAAGTCAAAGTAAGACACATAAAATGGGACGGAGGTAGTATCATTATTGCCGGTGTCACTAGCTATAGTGATGTCAGTGGAGACTAGGGTTGGGGTAATTTAGTAAATTAATGCTTGGTAGTCACTTTTTTAGAAATTATAAAAGATTTAACTTTTTGGTCAATTATTCATTTTTTAGTACTCCCGTGTCTCTGAAAGAACTTTCAATTGCGATTTACGATGTTTAACCAATGATAAAGTTAAATGATCTCTGCCAAAACTCATACTACCTACGTCCCATTTTATGTGTCTTCTTTGGTTTTGGCACAATTTTTAATAAAGTGGTTGAAAAGATAAAAGTTGTGGTTGAGATTTAAGTATAGTAAAGTGAAATGTTGTGAACCACATATTTCTTTCCAAAAAGGGAAATGTGACACTTATTTTGGGACAACCCAAAAGGGAAAGTAAGACAGGTAAAATGAGACGGAGGGAGTATTATTTTTAGTAAAAAAAAATTACATATTCAGAAACTATATTAAAATCTCTACAATGTTTGCAAAAAATAATTCAAATTTCATAAAAATTTGATACATAGTATAAAAGATTAAGAGTGATTTAAATTGATCAAATGAATAATAAAATGTAAGTTCTTTTAGAGACAGATCAAGAGTGGTTAAAATTGATCAAGTGAATATTGGAATGTTAGTTGAGTGATGTACGCACTACCTTTACTATTAAGGCCAAAGACTCAAAATTCCAAATATATATAATATCAAAAGTCCTAAAGTCCACCATTCTAACTGACGACGATGTCATTGTCACAATGTCATTTTGATCGGTGTCACTGTGGCCGGTGTCACTATAGCGATGTCACTCGAGACTGGGTTGGATAATTTAGTAAAATTAATGCTTAGTAATCACTTTTTTAGAAATTATAAAAAATATCACTTTTTTGACGGCCGGGCAGAACCTCCTATATAAGGGGCTAATTGAACACTTTAAGTCGGTTCATGGGCCTATTTGACCCTTTAGCCTTACTAAATATGATATGAGACAAATTTAATGGGACGAACGAAAGGTGAAAAATTATAGTGGGACAGATGGAGTATTAGCTAGTGTACTACTTAGGATGTTTTCTTGTATACTGAAATTTACTGATCTGATCTGGTTTTGTTTGATCTGGTTTGGTCTAGTCTGTTTAAGTCTGGTCTGATCTGATTTGGTTTGGTTTGGTAATGTATGGTCTTTGTGTATTTTATAACTGTCTTAATCTGATCTGGTCTGGTTTGTTTAAATCTGGTCTGGTCTGGTTTGTTTAAGTCTGGTCTGGTCTGGTCTGGTCATCTCTATCTGATCTGGTCTGATTTGGTGTGATGGAAAATCATCCGAAAAAAACATCCTTGCTCTTCAAGTCTAAACTCTAAACTCCGTCATCCAAAATATCCCTTTAATTATTTGAAATAACAAAGAGCTAATGACGGAGTAGGATTCCTTCATTATTGAAATACGGAGTAGGATTATTAGTTCATTAATGCAGATGCCATTACAATTACTCGCTACTTCCTATTTGTGTAGAAATACTCAAATGCTAACTAACTTCCTATTTCCTAATAAAGAAACCCAATACAGATAGGATCATAAGATCATAGGATTAGGAAAGTTTAACTTCATTATAAATAGAAAGCTCCCTCCTGCCTTTACCGCCAAGCCTCAAGCTCTAATCGAGAATCCTACATACGCATTATTCAATCATCTGAATAACTTGAATCACTCTTATAATTAATTATGGCTACGAGTCTGAAGTACTGTGGGTTGATCAGTCCTTTGGAGAAGGAACTAGACGAATGGAGGAAGAGATTACAACACTCTTTCTCTCCACAACATACTTTGCTATTTCACCAACTTGCCGATAACACTGCTAGAAGTAAGTAGTGTCTTCTTTTCTTCAATTTTCTACAATCTTTATATATTAAAGTGCTTCAACCATTTTTACGTACAGTTTTTATTTGATTTATTTGTTTCATTTATTTATTTATCTTGTTTATTTAGTTCCAGAAAACTACAATGTGGAATGGAGTCAGTTTGTTGGAGGAGCATATAGTTGCCGTTCATGTTATGATTATCATAATATTGCAAGAAACTACAACTACGAATATGAGTCCTTCTCATCAACACTGAATGATTCAAAGGACGTGTTTGTACGCAAGGCTAAAACGCATGATGGGTCACTTGAACTTCAAAATCTGATTAAGAATGGGAATTCAGGAGACAGGCAAGAAGTTCTTGATGGGATTATTGGTTCCATATTTGAGGTGATGCTCGATCCACATGGCCATCATCTCTTTCGAAGAATTCTCGAGTTTTGTGATTCTAGTCAGTTGGACACCATCTTTGTCAACCTGACATCATCCAAGGAGTTGCTTATCAACACATCTCTCATGCAATACGGGTACAAAGAATTACTACATCCATATCTTTTTCATCTTTTATTTATTGAATGATTTTTCCATGTTTTACTATTTTGTTACAATCAATATATTACTAATAAGTTCATATCACATGCATTAACGCTATGACAGGTCAAGTGCAGTTCAAAGATTTATCAAGAGGATTAAAAACACTGAGTTGGGGCAATTCGTTGCAATCATCCTTTCCATGAGATTTGTCGAGTTGATGACTAGCGAGCACGGTAGATTTGTAGTTCAAGAGTGCTTTTACACCTTCGAGCCTAAAGAAAATGAGGTTCTGGACTAAACTTAGATCTTATTTAATTAGTGTCATATATACTTTATACATTTAAATTAAAGAGTAGTGACGTGCTATAACTACGCATGATACTATTTGATCATATGTTTAGATATTACTTCGTCTTTCATAAAAGAAATTAAAGTGTATTTTCTTGCAAATTTTGTAAAATACCGACTTCGAATGTTTTTACTTGGACTGTAATTTGTCTCAGACCAGTCCAGACCAGACCAGACTTGGATAGTTATAAAAATAAAAAGAAACCAGACATTACCACACCAGACCAGACTAGACCACATCAGACCAGACTAGCAAATTACAGTCCAAGTAAAAACATCCTTCCTCTCACTCTTTTAGTGAATCAATTCAAACATTATTAAAATAAGTCCACTTAGATACCTATTCCGACCTTTTTAGCTTTCACGCAAGAGTGCTTGCGAGGGTTCCCGGCCATTCACAAATATGCATCCCTCAATGCAACTACTCTTTTGTTGCAACATATATGTATCTGATAAAGTTAAGTGTGATCACTTTATAATATAATGTAGTGATTGGAACACCAGATAGTGAAAATATCATACTTTTTTCAAGAGTTAGAGTATATTTTCGGAAAAAGTAAATTACGTAGTAAAATAATTCAAACATTATAGCTTGAAAGAGGTGGCAACAACATTATATTGCGCTTAAGTAATTGTAACAGTATGTTAACTCAGATCACTACAATTTCTCAACTTATTGACACTGCAGGTTTTATTCACTTGTGCAATCTCCTACTTGAAAGAGGTGGCAACAACACAATATGGATGTTCATCCTTGAATGTTTGCTTGAGTTGCATTACCGGTGCCCAAAGACAACAATTGCTCAAAAGTATCGTACATAAATCTGATTTCTTAGCGAATGATCCTTATGGGTGCGTATTTTATTTTATTTTCCACTCTTCAACTATGAATCTGAATATGATATCACCACCTTTTCAATCTCTAACTAATCAAACTTGCTTTTAATTACCTCTCTTCAAATAGGAATTATGTTGTCCAGGAAGTTCTTATGCTTAGAAACGATGAGATCACAAAAAAAATATGTGACCGCCTCAAGAGGGATTACCTACGCTTATCTTTTAAAAGAAGTGGAAGTCGTGTTGTTGAAAAATGCATACAAGCTTCAGAGTATGGACTCGATTCGGTAGTTGAGAGCCTTCTCAGCAGTGAAAAGAGTTTAGTGCTACTTGCTCGTGATCGATTCGGAAATTATGTTATCCAAACTGCTCTTCAGACCGCAAAGGTAAATAAAACTCGTCTTATAAATAAACTAAAATATAATGCATTACATATCTATTGCTACTAATCTTGCTATGCATTTTTTTTCCTGCAAGCAGGCAAGTAATATCAAGCATTATGAATCTCTTGTCACTGTCCTTAAGGCGCAACGCTCGGCTCTTCCGCATATCAAACTTGGGAAGCATATATTGAATCACATAGAAGATGTGCAAAACAATGTGGAAAATGTCTGATCTGATTTTTTCGTCAATTTGTACTTATTGAAATGCAAGCCCGAAAACTCTGTTTGGAAAGTTGATTAGTTGATATCTTAATAATGTTAAGTTTTTTTCTTCTGATAATGACTTTTTATTTCCTTTCAATACATTCCTGCTAGTTGTGGCCCTTGGGCATACACGAGGTTTTAATTTTTTATCCATATAATAACTCTCTATAATTGTATGTACAATCTCCCTTTGTGGATGAATAATTAGACAGTAACTCAAATTTTGATTTTACCGTTTCATATTCATCTCTAGAAGAATCCTTTTTGGTTAATCCAACTCAGAATTTGACAAGCAACACCAAAGATATCATTTTCTTCGCATTCATCCTCTACTTTCCCAAACTAAGAAAGCTTCAAGCTGTTCATCGTCTTTCGTTTCTCTGCATTTCAGTCCCCTTCATTAATTAAGTTGCAAGCTTCGTGAGTCGCTTGCCACGTCCCTCATCAAAACGTTTTTTGCGTTCGGTTTTATTAAAATGGATCACGAGTCAGGTCGAGTAATTAGGGTTGGAGGATTTGCAAATGCAATGAAGGGGAAAAGAAAAAGTACAAGAACAAAGTAAAATGAACAAAGAGAACAAATTAACAATACCCAGAGACAAGGCAAGGGAAGACGAAAGAATAAGGAACGGAATAAATATACAAAGCAAAGGAAAAAGGGAAAAGATCAGAAGAAAAGGGGCTATTCAAATGGCCTGGGATAATATAATCTCTTCGTTGATCTAAATATTCTTCTTCAATAAGTCTCATCTCGCCTGTTCACCGGTGTGTTCCGAGAAGATAGCACTGATAAATTAGATTAAACTAGAATGACTGATATTTGGGATTAATATTGGAATATGACTAATTGTTGGGATAATTTATTATTAATGTGAATTTTTCATATAATATATGCATACATGTTTACTTCAAAAACACTTGAAAGGCATTGACTTTTATTTTTAAATAAGAATCAGAGTCAATGTCAAATGTTCACTTTCCAAGCTCAATCAGTTGAAGTCAAAAAGTTAATCAGAATTTGTGATAAATCTACTCTTTACCAACCCATTACAAGTCTTACGTGCTCCTTTTTTGCTCTTCTGAGTCCATAGAAATAATACCCTTCAACAAACTGATTGTTTGGTTGTAATCCTAAAGACATCTATACAATTAGTTATTTATACATTGAAATTAATATATAGCCTAACCACTCGAGCAAAACAGCTTTTTAAAACATCAAACAAATACCTCCTAATAGGCAAAAAGCCAAAAATACAATCATTTAATGCAGTGTACTCCGAGAAGAATGGCTGACAATGGCGACAACTAGAATTTTAGGAGTACACTCACACACACCCAAAATGCAATAAGAGTCTATTTCAACTCCAAGTCTCCAACAGCTAGAGTTTGTTCCCACTATCAAATAAGATGGAAATAAAATGTAGTAACTTTTTGGAAACATAAGTAGTGCTACCAAAGAAGGGGAGCTCTCGCGCACCAGTTACGGTATTGCTATGTGACCGAGAGATCACAAATTTAGGTTTTGGAGCAGCCTGTTGTCAAAATGACAAGATGTGCTCCTTCTAAACCTTGTGGTGGAACCCTGATAGGGATGCGGGAAGACAGCCTGGTGTTAATAATAATGTTAACTATTATGGTCAGGTGTATTCCAGAAAGAGAAAACAGAATATTAAATAACTAAGTGTGGAAGTCGAGGGGGTGGAGGGGGAGTTATTATAAATAGCCAATTATTGTAATAAAAAGTCAGGCTGGTTTTTGGCTTTGGCTTGGGCTGGGACTGGGAGAGAGGCAACTCTTAAAACTGCCAGACTCTGTTCTCTTCATATTCCTATCATTTATTCAACTCTTAAACTGCCAGACTCAGTTCTCTTTCATATTCCTATCATTTGGTATCAGAGCTCCGATCGTGAGGCCTGTCTATGGTTGTTACCCGACGAAACATGGAAGACAAACTTGAACTGTTGGAACGGGAGCTGGCGGAACAGCGTGAGGAGGCGAGACTCAGGGACGAGGAGATGAACCGCAAGTTCGAGCTGGTGATGCAGAAGCTCGATCGCGAATCGCGCAGTCGATCCAACTCCTCCAGAACTAGCGCGCGAAATCGCAGTCGATCAAAATCCACCAAGGCCAGCGCGCGGAAGAGTAGCTGCGAATCCAGTTCCACCGCAGGTAATCTGCGATCGACCCATTCTAAGCATGCTGATAACCGCAGTAGACTGATTGAGAAAACTGGGAGAAAAGTGGATTTGCCACTCTTTAATGGATCCGATGCTTACGGATGGACCATTAAGGTTGAGCGTTTTTTTAAACTGAATCACATTGCTGAGGTAGATAAGATTGAGTTGGTTACCTTGGCCATGGAAGGAAGAGCTCTGAATTGGTATCAATGGTGGGAGGAACACTCAAATGTTAGAACTTGGGAACTATTTAGACAGGCTTTATTAGAAAGATTTGAACCAGGCCTGGAACAGGATCCTTACGGTCCTTTGCTTAATGTGAAGCAGACTGGGAGTGTGATGGATTATCGGGATGAGTTTGAGCTAGTGGCAGGTCCGTTGAAGAACACTGATGTACAATTTCTAAAAGGAATTTTTATGAAGGGTCTGAAAGCAGAAGTTAGAGCTGAGTTGAAACTGAATCCAGTTAGTACTCTAACTGAAATCATGAATAAGGCATCCAGGGTAGAAGAAAGAAACCAGACACTGAACCTCACAAAAGGTAAAGAGGAAGAAAGAAGAGGGTCAAAGGGTAATGTTTCTTCTCCATCTCAAAGATGGTTGCAAGAAAACAAATGGAAGGGAAACTTGACCAGCAATCAGTCAGGTATGGATAAATCCAGTGCTGAAAAGAGCAATGAGGCAGTCAATAAAAATGCTGGAGTGAAGGGGACACACAGGCTAACCCAGTCAGAGTTGCAGGAATTGAGCAGAAAGGGCCTTTGTTTCAAGTGTGGGGAACAATGGGGAAAAGGCCACATTTGCAGAATGAAACATTTCCAGATTATGATGATAGATGATTCAGAAGAGGAGGAAGAACAGGGGGATTTCAGTTTAGAAGCTTCACCGGAGAGGGAGATCAGTGAGCCTTCAAAAATGCAGCTATCTTTGATGAGTAAAGAAGGTCTGACCACTCCCAGGACTTTCAAATTGAAGGGTGAAATACAGGGATGCAAAGGAAAGAAGGAGGTTGTGATATTGATAGATTGTGGGGCTACTCACAATTTTGTGTCAGCCAGGGTGGTGCAAGAACTGGGGATTCCAGTACTGCACATTCCTGAGTTCAGGGTGGAGATTGGCAATGGTGAACAAATCACAAACAATGGAAGGTGTGAAGCTTTATCTGTTAGGGTGCAGCAGGCCATAATAACCCAGGATTTCTACACTCTGGATTTAGGGGGAACTGAACTTGTCTTGGGAATGGAATGGTTGTCAGGTCTGGGCAATGTGGAATTCAATTTCCATCAACTATCTATTAAGTGGATTGAGGGGAACCAGTCCATGATGCTCAAAGGAGATCCCCATCTGAGCAAAACTGTGGTATCTCTGAAAAGCTTGGTCAAAGCTATGCCTCAACAGGAGGAAGGGTACTGCTTATACCAATTTGAGGGAATCCAAGGGGTGGAAGAACAACCAAGCAACTTGGGTTGGATTCAGAGATTTAAGACAGAATTTCCTGAAGTTTTTAAACCTCTAGAGGGATTACCTCCCAAGAGGGACTGCGATCATTCTATAAATATCAAAGTGGGTTCAACCATTCCAAATATACGACCCTATAGATATCCACAATACTTAAAGAATGAGATGGAGAAGGTAATACAGGAGTTGTTAAAGGGAGGAATCATCCAGCCTAGCACCAGTCCTTATTAGTGCTGGACTCGGGCCGGTTCGGGCCCGGTTCGGGCCTGGACCCGGCCGGGCCTCGGGCCAGGAAAGGGAGGCCCGAGCCCGAACTGCCGGTGGCCGGTTCCGGGCCAAACCGGGCCGGGCCGAACCGGCCCAATTATTTTTTTTTTGTTCTCCTATTTAATCCCCTACCCCTCCCCCTCAACCCCAAACCATCCCAAACCACCTCAAATGGCCCAAAATACCTAATCCAACCTAAAACTTAAAAAAAATTCAAAAAAAAAAATTAAAATCCGGCCCGGACTGGGCCCGAACCGCCCGGGCCGGTTCACCAAAACCTGGGCCCGGGCCCGAACCGCCCAGCAGCCGGGCCGGGCCGAACCGAACCGGTGGACCCACCGGGCCCCGGGCCGGGCCGGGCCAAACAGTAACCGGGCCGGGCCGGTTCCGGGCCGGGCCGCCTGGCCCGAGTCCAGCACTAGTCCTTATAGCAGCCCGGTGTTAATGGTTAAAAAGAAGGACGGGGGATGGAGATTCTGTGGGGATTACAGAGCCCTCAATCGAATCACAGTACCTGACAAATTCCCCATTCCCATCATCGATGAGCTGTTGGATGAGTTAAATAATGCCCAGATTTTTTCCAAGCTTGACCTGAAATCAGGATACCATCAAATACGAATGAAAGAAGAGGATGTGCATAAGACAGCAATCAGAACGCATGAGGGGCACTATGAGTATTTAGTGATGCCCTTTGGCCTTAGTAATGCACCTTCTACATTTCAGGCTTTGATGAATAAAGTCCTGAAACCTTTCTTGAGAAGATTTGTGCTAGTTTTTTTTGATGACATTCTGATATACAGTGCATCAGAACTGGAGCATTGGGAGCATGTGAGAAGGGTGTTGCAGCTATTAAAAGACAATCAACTAGTGGTGAATGAAAAGAAGTGCTCCTTTGGACAAGCACAACTGGCTTATTTGGGACATATTATCTCCAAAGAAGGTGTGGCAGCTGATCCTAGTAAGATTGCTGACATGTTGGACTGGCCATATCCTGTTGATGTTAAAGGGTTGAGGGGTTTCCTGGGGCTGACTGGTTACTATAGAAAATTTGTTCAGGGATATAGCAGAATAGCATCTCCACTGAATGACCTGCTGAAGAAAGACGGGTTTAAGTGGACTGAAGAAGCACAACAGGCTTTTGATGAGTTGAAGCAGAGAATGACTCAGTTGCCTGTGTTAAAAGTACCCGACTTCAACCAAACTTTCATCATTGAATCAGATGCATCAGGGAAGGGTATAGGGGCCGTCCTTATGCAGGAAGGAACGCCGGTAGCATACATGAGTAAAACCCTATCCAGTAGAAATCAAGGAAAATCTGTCTATGAAAGGGAACTTATGGCTGTTGTGATGGCAGTCCAAAAATGGAGGCCATACTTGTTGGGCAGAAAGTTTGAAATCCACACAGATAATACTTGTTGAAATCCATACTTCTTGACTGAACAGAGAATACTGGGGGAAGACCAACAGAAATGGGTGGCTAAGTTGCTGGGGTACAATTTTGTCATAAAATATAAGCCGGGTGTGGAGAATAAAGCTGCAGATTCCTTATCCAGAAAGGGATTTTGTTATTCCTTGTCTGTTGTTACTTGCCAGGAGTGGGAAGGCCTTGAGGATGAATTAAGGGAGGATGGGAAATATAAAGCCATGCTGCAGAAATTGCTGACTGAACCAGATTCCATCCCACACTTCAAGGTTAGCCAAGGTCTTTTGTACTATAAGGGCAGATTGGTTCTTCCCAAGAATTCTGGAAGGATTGCTAGCATTTTGAAGGAGTTTCATGAGTCTGCTATTGGGGGGCATGCTGGGAATTTTAAGACAATGAAAAGAATCTCCTCTTTGTTTTACTGGGAAGGAATGAGAACAGACATAAAGCAGTATGTTCAGCAATGTGATGTTTGCCAACGGAATAAGTATCAATCTCTGAGCCCGGCTGGATTACTTCATCCACTTCCCATTCCTAAGCAGATTTGGACAGACCTCAGCATGGATTTCATTGGAGGTTTGCCTAAAGCCCAAGGTAAAGATACTATTCTGGTGGTGGTGGACAGGTTGACAAAGTTTGCACACTTCATAGCATTGACTCACCCTTACAATGCTAAAGGAGTGGCAGAATTGTTCATACAAGAAGTTGTCAGATTGCATGGATTTCCTAAGACCATTATTTCAGACCGAGACAGTGTTTTTTTAAGTGTATTCTGGGCTGAATTGTTCAAATTGGCGGGCACCAAGTTAAAATATAGCACAGCCTATCATCCACAAACTGACGGACAAACAGAGGTGGTAAACCGATGTGTGGAAACCTACCTTAGGTGTATGACAGGGAAAAGGCCCAAGCATTGGCCCCAATGGCTGCCATGGGCTGAATTCTGGTATAATACAAATTATCATGTATCAACCAAGAATAGCCCTTATAAAGCTTTGTATGGGCAGGACCCACCCGTTCTAATTCGTGGCGATGTGTCATTAACAGCTGTGGAGGAGGTTAGTAGACTAACAGCTGCCCGGAATGAAATTCTAGATGAATAAAAGCACAATCTGGAAATTGCTCAGAACCAAATGAAGCAATTGGCTGATAAGAAGAGAAGGGATGTGCAGCTGGTAGTGGGGGATTGGGTCTATTTGAAAATCCAACCCTATAAACTTAAAAGTTTGGCTAAGAGGTTAAATCAAAAACTAAGCCCGAGGTTTTATGGACCCTTTGAAGTGATTGAACAGATTAACCCAGTGGCCTACAGATTAAAGCTACCGGAAGACTGCAAGGTTCATTCAGTTTTTCACTTGTCACTGCTGAAGAAGGCTGTCCCTACCTCTACCCCAACACAACCGTTGCCAAAATGCCTAACAGAGGAGTGGGAGCTGCAAGTCAAGCCAGAGTCTATCAAAGGGAGCAGGGTTAACTCAACTGGTGAAGCTGAAGTGCTGGTTCATTGGGAGAATCTGCCTGATTTTGAAGACACTTGGGAAGATGCCCAGCAGATGCAGCACCAATTCCCTGATCTCCACCTTGAGGGCAAGGTGGTCAATTCAGGGGGGAGTGATGATAGGGATGCGGGAAGACAGCCTGGTGTTAATAATAATGTTAACTATTATGGTCAGGTGTATTCCAGAAAGAGAAAACAGAATATTAAATAACTAAGTGTGGAAGTCGAGGGGGTGGAGGGGGAGTTATTATAAATAGCCAATTATTGTAATAAAAAGTCAGGCTGGTTTTTGGCTTTGGCTTGGGCTGGGACTGGGAGAGAGGCAACTCTTAAAACTGCCAGACTCTGTTCTCTTCATATTCCTATCATTTATTCAACTCTTAAACTGCCAGACTCAGTTCTCTTTCATATTCCTATCAAACCCTTTCCAAGACTTGCCTTGCAGAGACACCAATGTGCAAAAGGCTGCCCTTATTACATTGTGCTACCAAACTACTATCTATGTACTCCATAACATGCTTCAAATTGCTTACTTAATTTACCTTTAGTAAAGAAAGTCTGTGATACAATCGAAACATCAAAACTTTAAAGAAGTGCATCATTATCCTCAGAAGTTCTTTCCAAGGATGTAGTGTTGTCTATTCTTTTCCTCAAGTCAGGAGGAAATGTATAATCATTTTACAGAGAAGAAATTGAATTGATAAAATTTGATATAAGAGGCATTACAATATGTACCCAGCAATGATCCAGTTATCACTTTTCACTTTTGATTAGTGCCTTTTATTCAACTGTGAATAAGGAAAGTCAGGGTGGGGTTTAAAAGAAATGTAAAACTGCAATTGTAAAGAGGAGAATGTCCAGTCTAACATTTCATTTAGTGGGCTTGCCAAAACTATTCAACCCCGAATGATACCATTCAAAAGACCTTCTAATGAGCCACCCATTCCTGCACCCACAGCTTCAGCCAAATTTTTTGCCTACAAAAGTTGCAATCTCTTTTCAAGGTCAAATTTTCAATGTGAAAAATCGCATAAATAAAATCTCTTCTGACCTTGCATATTTAATTTGTTTTTTGGAAAGCAGCCTAAACATAAAAGCTAATATATTCACCTCGTAAGCAGACTTCCGCAGGTCAAAAGCGTCTCTAATTCGGGCATCCATGAACTTCCATGTATCGACAAGATCTGAAAACAGGAACAATATATAATACCCCATGTCACCCATTTATGTTCCTACTCCCTAGGGAGTACGGACATCAAGGATTTTTAGGCAAGACAACTTTTATATTGATTTTGCAAATATATCCTCAATTAAAGGTATGATAGAGAAAGTGAGCAATTAATAATGTAGGGTAATTCAGTCTTTTACTATGCAAGTGTTACCAAAACAAGAAGTGTAAACTTAATGCGGGGACATTTCAAACAAGAAAGTGAGAACTTAATTTGGGGACAAAGAGAATAAAGAATGTAAGGTGCCAACAGGGCAGCTAACTTTGGTTTTGTAAGTGGCTCTAGCAAAAGTAGATAGGAGATAAATAGACGGTACATTAGGCCGTGCTTCAACTGCATTACATCCTCACCACTCACAGAGCAAGTAGGAATGAAAGTTATTATTTGGATAAATAGGTCGGTTGAAGCATATATATAACAATTTAGAAAAACATCATATCTGATGCAAAAAAAAAAATCAAAAGATGGGGCAATGTGCATTGAATATAATTGGTGGCAAGATCACTCAGGAAACACATTTAACAGAAAAAGGAAGAAGAAACGGGTGGGACTAGGTTATGTTTTAGCGTGAAGGATGGATTTTATCAAATATATTCGGGGAAGAAAAAAGTAAATAACCTGGAGATTTATCAGTCAGCATATATAGCTCAGTTGTGGAGTATATTCCACCAAGCACGGTGCACTTCACATACCAATCAATATTATTAGAATCTTCATCACCA